AACAAGATATGCGACTTTGGAATGATTTAGCAGATAAGCACGCTAAGAACGCCATGAAGCGAAGCCTACAGGGCTCGTTGAGGGCACAGTGCAATCCGCCTCTCTGCCCAGGTTGGACAGCGCTACGTGGAACATCTTGAGCTTTTGGCTGATTTATCAACCAAAGTGGCCCTGGCGTCCACCTTGTCTTTGCCTAGTTCGAGCATCTCTGTGGCTTCATCCTGGATGGCGCGTCCCTCCGGGAAAGCCTCGTGCTGGTTGCGTGTCCCTCCAGGAAAGCCAACCAGGGAATCGTTTGCACTGCTGCGGCATGCTTTTTGCGATTGCTTTTCCTTCTGAGCAGAAAGGGCACTTCTTGGTGGCAAGCGCGGTTGAGGACTCAGAGATTGTGGGCACGGCTTGGATGCCCCACTGGCCGCGTGCTCAGTAATGCCGCAGATGGCAACTGTGAAAAGGTCGAATCGACAGACGAGAGCGTGGACGGTTAATCTCATGAGGCAAAATGTTGAATTTTAACAACTTTGGATCGAACAAAGTCCCGCGGTCAGCCTTCCACGATGACTTGGCAGGAATATCTCTCTTGGCGGAACACTGTCAATACTTGGAGTGGAGCTCTTCAGGCCACTGTATGTTGTGAAGGATGGGTATCTCCATTGTTCTGGACACTATGAACTCATCCAGGGTGTCCAAGAAGGTGAGTTGCACGCCCGTCTTGTGCAACGCAGTGAGGAGGGAGCCAAACCGCTAAAATTCCCTGCTACACGGTTGGGTTGCTCGCAGCGGGCTATCCAGTTGTTGGGTTGCCTGAGTTTGCTTCGCCCGGCTACCGTCAGTCGCGGAATGCCCCCTCAGGCCTTCAGTTGTGTCGGGTCGCGGTGCAGCCTCCAAGGCGTTGCCGCGGTGTTCCCCAGAGTGAGTACCGCTCTTTCACACCTGTGATGATCATTTTCAGTGGTCATGCCCTCATGCCCTCATTGCCCAACCCCAGAATGTCATACCAACAGGTCCCACTCACTCATGGCAGTGCCCTTTGTGCCCTGACGGTGTCTCACGGTACTATCTCCAAGCTTAAGTCGCAACAAGTGTCGAATTGTTGGTTTGAACTTGCACCTTCGGAAGCGCTTAGCTGCGTTGCTTCCGACCGTTGCAAAGCGGATTAGCGCTGTGCTTTGCGCCAGGTGCCTGCATGAAGATTTTTGCCGCTGTCAAGCGCAAGTGCCCAACTCAATCCAAGCAGCGGGAGGGCTACAGGGCTAGGAGTCTGGCTGCTCTCAAAGCTGCAGCTACAGAGAAGTTTTGGCAACGTGATCCCCAACATATGGACAAAGCCATCGTGGCGCACGCGTTCGAAATTGCTCGACGTGCTATTCAAGTTTTGCCACTGCCATTGCCATGAAGGAGTGCGTTGGTGGCACCATGAATGAATGTGAATCATCGCGGCGCTGCCAAGATCCCAGATTGTGTCGTGACCATGCAATCTCATGGCATTTAGGTTTTTGCTTTGCAAGAGCTTAATGTTGATCGGCGCAGCTGTCCTGGCTTTACAGCCGCTTGTAAAAAGCACAATTGTCACACAGTGTTAGGTGAGTTTTCCCAACAACAAGGGAGGAATTTCAGAAAGGAGCGAAGAGAACATGAAAGGGAGCAAAAGAAACAGCCAGATCTGCTTACTAGCGGCGCTAGCGGGGGTCCAAGGGAGAACGACAGGCATCATCATGAGAGTGAAACTGGCAAAAACAAAAATGATAAGAGTGAAAGAACACGGAAGAGGTTGAAAGGAAAGTGCGAGTTTATAGTGAGATTCCATCAGGGGTAGCTGTGTCAGACAGTGGTTTGCCGGTGAGGCCGCTTGGATCGTTAACGAAGCAGAGTTTGAATCTAATTTCGTTGCTTGCTGTCTCCTGCCTTTCCCTGAAACCTACAGCGCGCAGCGGAGAACTTGCCTGTTTTGGATTGATGCTGCTGCTTGTGATTTCACTTGTTGAATGATATGGCTATCCGCGCGCTAGGTGCTTCTGAAGGAAGCTAGCGCTTGCGTGGCAACCAGGTGCTCACATGTACCACTCTGGCCCGGGTGTGTCAAAGCGAGCTGGCCACCTTTTCCTAACCTAGACGCACTGCTAGCGTGATGCCGTTCAATTCGCCCAGCTTTGAGGAGCAGTGCTGTGCAGTTGGCGCGTGAGGTAGAGGGAGGCCATCTCGGCGGCTTGGGTGGAGCGGAGGCAGAACTAGCAGCAGAAGAGGGCCTCGTAGCATCCTTCCCTTGGTTTATGCATTCACCACGCAGGAGAGTTTTCCATTGAGATTTGTCTGCATGTGCATAGAGTGCGGGGCAACAGCGCCGTTCACCTATGCAGAGGGAAAATGCCTTGTGGGGGACGCTTAGCAAGTTTTGCGCGCTGAAATCGCGCTGGCAACAGCGGCCTGTACCCCTTGTGAAACCCTCTGACATTTTAATTCCCAAGCCGAGAGCGCTGATTGCCTCGCTGCTGCCCAACGCTTTTCGCACGACGCCTTTCAGAAACAACAGTTACCCATAGATAGGGCGTACCGGGTCATTGGCCTGTGGCCAGTTCTTGACCAACTTCACTTGCGTGGTGCAAAGAGGGAATGTTCTGCGGCCAAGTCCAGTGGTTGAACAAATAAGCCCTTGCGGCCAAAAAGCTAAAGATCCTCGTCTGACGGCAACGTAGACTTGAGGAGCCGAGACTGTTTCAGGCAATTATGCCTGACCATGCCCAAATACTTTCCCAAATACTTTGGGATCACCTCACGCAGAAGGATGTGTGGCAGAAATTTACTGACTTGTCAAAGGCGCCGACGTTTCGATGGTGATCGCTGCGTTTGAGTTCGCGACAGAATGGTTTGGACAGTTCACATCCTTTTTGTTGACATGCGCTTTACACACGAGGCGGGCCTCGCACTTGCTTCCGCTGGTGGCACTGACACATGCACCTACTAGCGCCGCCTCCGCCAACTGAGGCGCCACAATATCCGCTCCCACCTCCAACGGACACCCTCTCACCGCAACACACACGCCTGGACCTGAAGAAAGGTGAGCTGTCGGACTGTCGGATGCCGGGGTGCAGTCCAAGGGTACAGTCCCATTCCTTGCGTGACCATGCAGGCCACTCTATCTCAGAACGGGGCAAAGGGAGACAAAGCAGAACCGTCTCAGCCCAGAAGAACATTGAAAAAAAGGGAGGCAAAACCGAATGGGAGACAAAGGGGGTCAGATATTCCTCCCCCTTATCCAAGACAGAATCATCTCAGCCTCTATCCAACAAGGGCCACGAGAGACAAAGAGAGACAAACACATTCCCACCCAGCGGCCAAGAGCGGCGAGAGAGAAAGCAAGACCGTCTCAACCAACGCAAAGGGAGGCAAAGAAAAGTCGCCTCAGCCCATAAGAGCGTGGGGGGACAAAGGGAAGCAAAGCAATCACCTTAGCCGGCATCCAGACGAGCCATGGCAGACGAAGGGGGACAAAGCAGAATCACCCTAGCCCAGGATCCAGAGGAGCCATGGGAGACAAAGGGGAGCAAAGGGCAACACAAAGCCAGAAACCACCTTGCTAAGGACCATTTCCATGCAAGCGTTGAGACCTCCTCACAGCAAATTTTGGAAACGAAGGGGCAGGGCAAGACAAAATGATAATGGGTTAGGTTAGGTTTGGTAAACTAAAAGCACACAAACATTGAGAAACACAAGGGGGTTGAAGGAGACGACAGACAACATGTTAACAGAACCGGGTGGCGTGCAAACGGAAACAACTGGAAAAAGAAAACGAGGCCACGGAAAAACAAAGTATATACATATTTTGGGGTTAATGACAACTGCATGAAATTAGATGTCACACGGCATGCCATTAGCAACAGGTTGGAATCTGCCTACTGCCGGGCGCGAACAATCTGAGGGATTTCTTGTTGGTCCTTGCCAGGGCATCAATATTTGCCAGAACATTGTGCCAGGAAGGGGTCAGCAGTTCTGAAGATTCTCATCTAGATTAATGATTGAGTAAACTTCGCCATGGAAATGAGAAGGCTACCAATTTTCCTTGCAATTCCTTCGTTTCCCTTGCGCAGTCATGTTCCGTTTCACGTCATTTTCATTGTTTTGCCCGTGTTCTTCATTCCACGGTTGGGTTTTTTCCCAACGGCTCTGAATGGCAAAGATCTGAATTGTGGGAACATTTAGTGGAGCTGAAACATCCGCAGAGGTTTTGGTTTCCCAAAATTGTGATATCATCACGCGCGAATTTTCTCTGGAATTTTGGATTTGCCCATCTGCTCACAAAACATGGTAACATTTTTGCCCACTATATACGTGTCTGAGATTGTAGTATCCCGATCATTGTGAAAAGGGAATTCGTTGCTGGGTTCATGTTGACGTTCCGCAGGAAGAGGACGACGCCAAAGCTGAGGAGGCTAAGAAGGCGGCAGATCCCAAGGATGAGGAGGATGATGACGACTCCGAGGAGGATTGAGAAGTAGCAGATGGGAAGTTTTGATGAGGTGAGACCCCAAAGATCAGCAGAGGAGCTGAAACATGACACCACGTGAAAAATCAGCGAAAGTCAGCGCGGCACCAACCACCCAACCGTTCAGTCGGCGTGGTTGGAGGATCCTTCCAGGAAGGCTTTTTGCTTTGCCGTGCCGTTGGCGAAACGAGCCACAGGAGCTTGTCATGTGGCAGGGTTTACAGCATGCACTTAGCCAACAGATTTGCAAGTGCAGCCATTTTGATGGGCCGACAGGCCCTTGCCCCAGCCGAGACCAGGCTTGCGGCAGCCAGAGACCAGCTGCGGAGCAGCATTCGTCGCATTGTGAAAAGCGGAATCTTTGCAATGCTTTGTCTTGGACCATGGACGTCAAGGTCGCATGGCCACGGCGGTAGGTTTGGTGGTCCAACAGACCGAACTTGTGGGTCTTTTCGCTCCTTGAATAGGAAGTGGTATTAGCTCCACACCTCCGCTCGTCCGCTTCGGATGCGACCCTCAGGATGGAAGCCAATACGATGGCGAGTGGCAGAAGGGACGGAAGCATGGATATGGCACCTACATCGGCACCACCAACCTGAAATATGAAGGACTGGGATCTGGAAGAAAAAGACTTCAGGATGTTGGGCCAATGTACTTGAGCTGGGGCCATCGGGGTCGAGCAGTTGAACCTTCTGCACAAATGAAAAGCACACACTGTGTAGGGTTGCACTGATCGAATGGGTTCAACTTCTCGCGCAGGAGAGTGGCATGATGGGAGTCGTCATGGGAGAGGAGTCCAGGATGCTTGTTGGGCAAACATGGGCAAACCATTGTCGGCTAGGGCTGAGGATGAAGGTGTCGGTCACACACACACACATCACTAATGAGCAGTCCCTTCCAAAAAACGTTTCGACCACCTATGGATGGACACTTGCACACCACACCATGAACTCCACTGGTGTCTCTTCATTCCGAAAATACGGGGGCCAATTTGTGTACAGCATTTCTGGTGAAGTCCTGGGATTGGTGAAGTCCTGGGATCCGAGCCGGGAGGGTCATTCGACACCCCTCGCGTGTCGAGGCGAGTGTGACCGGTGAGTTTGGCCGGAAGCCTCCAGTGAATCCGCGAAAGGAGATGTCCAGGCAGTGATAGCCTGGCATATGGGATCGAGTAAAGGTACTTCTTGACTCTGCAGCCAAGTAGGCCAAACAGAGCCCTCCGAGCCCTCCGAGCCCTCCTGTCCTGATGCCAAGACTCTTTCGACCACCGGCGAGGTGTCGCCATTAATCCTTGTTCATCTCAGGAGTACGCCAATGGCGACAAGTACGATGGATGGTGGTACAACGGCAGCTTGGTCGCACGAGGTCAGAGGACAGGATGAACAAGCCATTCTAGAAGTCCACAGACTATATGTTGCTCATTGAAGTGCCAAAGGATGTTTCCTCGTGGGGTCACCTAGTCTCGACCATTTTGGAACTAGTCTCGGACTCCCAGGGTATCCTCATTCTTCGGACGGCTGGTCGCAGCGAAGTGGCCGGTTCGGACGTGGCAGGTCAGTGCAGCGGCTTGGGCATCTACTACTTCGCGGATGGCTCTCAGTACCAGGGCGCCTGGAACCACGGGAAGTATGCCGCTCGCGCTTTGAACGGGAAGTGGGCACGACTGAACGACAGGCGAACTCGCCGTGCAGCCTGGTCTGGTCTCTTCAGGTCCAGGGGACGATTTGCTCGGCCTTCGCGGGGTTTTCAAGCTGTGAACTGAGCCTAGGATGGAGCTGGAATCCTCTACTCGGCCAATGGGGACAGAGAGCGGCTCACCTACTTCGAAGGAGTCTCAGATGCACTCGACTTTTGGAGGATTTCCCAGGTATCCCTAGGCACAGGGCAGAGCGGGGCGGTTAGTCACAGTATGTCACAGTGAAGCTTCGAGGTTGCTCAGGGCCGGGCCTGACTCCGAGCACTTCAGCTGTTTCCATGCTGGGGAACGATGGGTTCTTTTGACGTGTTTGACTGGAAAGTCTCCGATCCCGATGGGTTTGACTTCAGTGATAGGCCAAGGCCTCCCAGAGGGCGACGCGACTGAGGCCGTTTGATGAAGCGAGAGGTCTTGCCTCCCTCGCCGCCGCCGGCCGTGAGCAACAAGAGTCGGCCGTCGCTTGGTGCGATGGGAGGGCACACTCATGTAGGCAGTTGACGAATAAATTTGGATGTGTCATATGAATATGGGGGATTGTCTGAATCAACAGTCTTCGACTGTTGAAAAACCAATGAGACCAGTGAATGATTTGACACTTCTTCATCTTGCTCATTTTGTTGGAGAAGAGCCCTCCACGGGCAGCAAACTCACCGACTCGATCGGTGAGTGGGTGAGTTGGGATCCAAAGACTAAAGCTTTCGTCAAGCCAATGGATCGAGCTGAAGAAAGTGAGCACCTCCAACGAATCTCGCGTCCAAGGGTCTTTCGGCCAGAAATGAGTAACACCTTCGGGAGGCCTGTCCTTGACTGCCTTCACGCCATGCGATGGTGTTCGCAGGAGTTGAAGGGCGTTTTTGCCCGTGGCATGATCTGGCTGTTACTAAAGGAGGGTAGAGAAGTCCAACCACAGGACAGTCCGACAACTAAAACCCAATCGAATCTGGTAGACAAGTCAAAATATGGCCCCTCCCAACCACGCGCCCGTTCGGCCCAAGGGGGATCTTCTGCGATCCGCTGCTCTCGCAAGACCGTCTCTTCGCCGTGCAGCCCACGGTGCTGCCGAGCAACGCAGGCACGGGAAGCGGAAGCGAGAGGGCGGGAAGTCACCAACGATACTCGGAGACCGAAGCTGGTTGATTGAAACTGGGATCGCCCGTGAATGGAGCCGTCCACTGAAAGAAATGATGTATGTGGCAAATGCCCAACAATACTATGGTGCACCTGGGCGAAAAATTGCGAGGAAGACCCCTTGGCTTGTGGAGGCAAGTTCCCCCAAACACGATGAAGACACGGAAGACAGCCAAAGACGGGGACCTGCGTCCCGAACCAGCCATGCGAACAACAGGGTTCGGACCGAGGGTTGTGTGACTTCTCAGGTCGCTTGCTTCGGCACCTCGGGGCGAAGTTTCCTTGTTGCATCACTGGACAGCTGTCGCAGGAGACGGCCAGTTGCTCATCAAGCGCGACTGCGACAACTATGACCTTTCTGCACCTCCCTTGCGGATGAAACCCAGACAGCCACACCGAGAGACGCTCGGCGGGCATTCCTGAGCGGCACCGTGGGGGAGGAAGTGAACCCGTAATGATGTCTAATGAGCATTAAGCTCCTAGTGCCAAGTCCGCTAGTATAGGGTGCTGTTTTGAACCTCCGTTCCTCCTGCGTCTCGATGTTTTGGCTTCTAGGTGCAGTCTTGTGTTTAGAGGAGCACATTTTGGTCATGCTTCGTTTGATTGGTGTACCTTTGGAAGGACATCAGGACCTTTCAGCATGAACATGTCGGTCTCGTGCCGGGCCAGTGGGTGTAGCTCACGGCGTTGTGACGTACACAGCGCGTAGGGTGCAGCCCACACACATGACAAGACTGCATTTGGGTGTTGTAGCATTCCTTCCAGTTTTGCGGTTAGGAGAGTCAAACGAAAGTGTACCATTTGAGGCTTTGAGGGTATTTTCTTGCGAATGGACTTGTGCCAACTGGAGCCAACTGGAGCGACGACAATGATGGGCAGCTCAATACTCATCAATTGCACTTAATTACTGTAACATTCGCCACGCGAGTTGCACCTGCACGACTCCTCTCTCTGTCAGGCTTGATGACCTACTGGGTGATTCCATTGAGACGATCACCGGTGGAGATACCATCGAGACGGTCACTGGTGGGGACACTTTGAGCAGTGCACCTTGCCACTGGAGGGTTTGGAGTGACCGGTGCTCGGGACAACGGTGCATTCCAGTGACCTCTCGGGGCTCTCGGGGCTTGGGGCGGTCCGAGGCGCTCACAGCGGGTCCATCCACCGACGAGTCGACCTTTGTGACTGAACCCTGATGGCCGGTCGCATCGATGCCCGGGGTCGCATGGAGGTTGGATCCACCAGCTCGTTATCGTTTTGGCCTCAGTGGTTTGTGTGAATCACTTCCAAAAAGGACCCGGGGGAGAATCGCTATGTCAGTCTGGTGATCCCTTTAGATGAGTTGCAACTCCAAAGGAGCCTGCAGTTCAGTCTCATCGTCAGCCTGAAATATGTGGCCGACAATGGCAAACAGCCAAAAAGGGAAGATGAAAAGGTAGAAAAGGCAGGGAGAGTAAAGGCAAAAGGCCATTCAGGATTTCAGCTCCGGGCGTGGGTGTTCGGTTGTCCCCCTAAGTTGTGCTCGGATTTGCAAGTGAAGAAAGCATTTGGAATGACAGCTTTCGGAACGGAAGGCAAAGTGACCATGCCAAAAGCCCGACCTCTCAGCCAGGCGCTCCTGCGAGCAGCCCAGTCTAGGGGAGAGGCTCTTGGACTTTCGGAGGGTTGCAGATCAAGAGATGGCACAAAAGCAAGCAGTTGTCAACAGTTCATGGGCTAGTGTCGACGGTTCAGGATGCTTGCCGACTGGAGTTCTGACGTTCTTTTACCTGGGCTGGGTTCCATCACATCGGCGTTCGTTCGGTGTTGCCTCCCACCTCGTGCAGCATCGGCTAGCCAGCAACGAAACCACTCGATGTCCAGTATTTGTTGAGGGCCTAGGCTTGGGCTGTGCCAAAAGGGATCGCTGGATGATGGTTGCCAATGTGGCCCTCGAAGCCATGTGCTGCTGAATCTATATGATTGAAGAACGTTTGGATTTTGGGGCTTCTGAACCTGAGAGCGATCTTTCCCTCGAAATGCTTCCCAGTGACGTCTGGTGAGAGTATCGGGGCCTGTGGGGGATTACGAAGGTCAGAGGGAGTCAATGGCTGGCAGGTCCTGAAGTTTGGTGCCAAACATACTGTAGGGTGTTTGTCACAAGCCCAAATGATGGTGAATTGCCAGTGAAACTGACCCATCCACTACAGAATTTCCACTGGTTGCCCTCAGGCAGCCCGCCTTCCTTTTTCACACCCGCCCTCTTTTCGACCCCAGCGCCACCCGGGGGCCACGTTGCACAGGCGGCGACGGAGGTTGCCTGCGGCGACCGGCGCTACAGCGTGAACTTCCGGCGCCTGCGGGGGTCGAATGGGAACGAACTGGAGGGCCGGCAGCAGGGTCCTTTTACCAGGTGTTTTGGAGGACCTTGGGGTGCACCATGTCTTGGATGGAAGGCATGAAGGCACGAGGTGGTGGTTTGCCGGGGCCTTTGCTTGGCAGTAACTGCTTTTATGGAGGCCATGCTGGGCACTCGGATGGATCTTCACCACTGTTTTCTGAATTTGCGGGTTGAGATCAGTTGAACCTCGCATAGCCGGCATAGCTCTTCTGAGTTTCCCATGGGGCGAAGGGCCTTTTTGAGAGTTAACAGCTCACTGATCTCATTGTTTGGCATGTTTCCATTGGCTGAAGTGCTTCCTCCGTGCATCGGGTGGGTGGTTTCAGACCATGTCAGGAGTGCAGGTGAAGCGGAGCGCGTCAACCTGCAGACCAAGGCACCCAGCAACTGTGGAACCCGGCAACGGCAGTTCTCAAGCTGGAGGGTGGCCCTTTTTGGAGGGTTTGGACCTGCTTTGCCTGGCCCATGAGCATTCCTAGCACGCATTTTTTTTTGGGGGTTAGCACGCATATGACCAGCAATTTTTCGGGTCAGTCATGCACAAGACTCTTTCCTTGGCTAGCTAGGGGTGAACACCAAGGAGCTCATGTAGAGTGAAATAGGTAGAGGATCAGCTTCCAAATCCGGTGGCGAACGTTGAGCAGTTTCCTCATGGAGACGGTTCCTGTCCTATCAAAGAGGCCGAATGCTTTTATTGCCAGCAGCGTTTGCGGATTTGTTGCTAGCCATAAGATCCTGTAGGCTAACAATTGACAGTAACTGGACTCAGTAATTGTCCACCCCTTCTTAGTCTCACATGTGTATGCTCATGCCCTTCTGTGATAGTATCTTTCCTGTCCGCCTTGTCCACAGGTCCGCCGCCGCATGCGGGATATGACCTGCACCAAGGATGCCAGGCCGAACTGGCTTGATGGGAGTCGATGTGTGGAGTGTCGACAAAAATACATACTCTCCCAGTTTTCTACGTATCCTTTTAAGTTTAAAGGCTTTTTCTGTTCTTTTTTGGTTAAGTTAGGTGACCTGGAAGGTCAGATCCATGAGCAGGACACGTTAGCGATTCAAAAGTTGTTTTTGCAAACGTGATTTGGACAGGTTAGCTGCTTAGAGGCCTTTGGCTTGCAATGTGATCCTGGGAATCTAGACTAACTCATTATCAAAAATCCTGGTGTGGGATACTGAGCGTTGGCAAGTGAAGTGGTGGTGTCCCGCAGAAGTGTGGCTCCCTTGCTTTGGTGTCTTGGTGGACATGTTTGCCCGGACAATGCTAACATGTCCGTTTACGAATTTAAGAAACCCTAAGATTTTGCAAAAAAAAAGAGAGCTAACATAGCCCGTCACAAAGATGGGCATCTCTTCTGTGATGGGACAGGTTAGCAGTTTTTCGAGGCATGTTGGGTCATGTTCAAAATCATTATGATACCATTTTCTCCGGTTATTCCGGGACACGTATATCTGGAAGAGTGTAGATTTTTCGATTGAGGTAAGTCTTCACTTCCCCTAGAGGACTTGCTTTTCCAGAGCCACCATCACCATGCGGGAACCACCCATTTCCATTTTTCTCCCAAACTCCAAGCACCCTAGAACTGATCCAACATGCCAAGGGCTTCTTTGGGGTTACGTCTTGGTCAGACCTTCGATTGCCGTTTGGGTGCCATCGGGTGCGCAGGTCTGACTCCGTGGCAGGGCCCTCGATGGTGGTGGGCCGTGTGGCGTGTGATGGGCGTCGTGCGTGTTTAGTGGACCTCTCCGCAGCTTCGGGCTCGAAGGGGGGAACACTGTAGGCAACTGGTTGCAAGGAAGGCATCATGGCACTCTTTCTTCAGGCCAGGAGTGCATGTTGAAGTGCTGAGTGGGGTGTTGACACGTGTTTTTCTTCAACTACAACCATCATGTTTGTCCACTTCCATGTTTCTTGGGAAGGTCCACCTGCTTTACCCCTGCTGAAAGCCCGCACGCTCCTGCAAGCCAGCCAGGCGCTCCTGCTGACGGCGCCCGCTGCTTGGGGTCAAGACTGTTCGGGCCATGGAGTGACCTGGGGGCCTGGCATTGGTCCTCCCCCGGCCGGCTGTGGGAGCGGAGGTACTGGGCCAAGTCCACCCCCAGGAGGCGGAGGTGGTGGAAGTGCCACATGTCAGAACCCCTCCTGCAGCAGCCCACCGTGCGCGGCACCTCTGTTGGGAGATGTCGGCTGCACGTCAGTGGCAGGAGCTGAGACCTATGCTCATGAGCTATTGTCAGCTGGTGATACGATCAGCAGTGGAGCACACATCTACGGCCCTTTTGAGGCTGGGTTCACTTCGCAGCAGGACAACATCATCCGCACATGGGGCTGCTCTACTCCTTCAGCCACCGGATGCATTAAGATTTGGGTGAGACTTGTTTTGTTGGACTCGACTGACAGTTGCTCAAATAATTAGGTAGGACTTGGAGACCTTCTGACTTGTTGACCAGTGAGAGGTTGTTTTCTTGCTATTGTTCTTCCTTCCTATGGTCCATGGTGATGTGGAGCGAGCTTAGGTTGTTTACGACACGGAAGGTGGAACTGACATTGGCATTGCGGAGAGGAAGGTGGCGCATGCTTGCGGCATCGAATTCCCTCGTCTTGAAGGTACGAAGATGTACGAAGGGTGCAGTGTTTTTATGGGTATTGTTGAATGAGGGTTTGGGGGAGAAGGGGGTCAGATTTGCAACCAGCAGTTGCCGTAATTTGCAAAAAGCAGTGGTTGTGTTGACCCCCGCCGTCCTGATGCTCCATGCAGGCAACACATACTTTGGCGTGGTCGGCCCGTGTGGAGGGCACGCCAATGACTACCACTTCCACAAGAGCTTCAGCTGCTTGTATGCCCAGTCGGGTGGTCATTCGACCAAAGTCGGGGATGTTGCCTCTCACGGCATCTATGGCAAGTGGGAAGACTATGATTTGAAGAGACTCCCATTGCTGGATGCATGTGGTGCTCACATTGGCCCGACACCGGACTCATCAACGCCTGTGTACCACTACCATGTTCAAGATCAGGCCCCCTTCACAGTCGGGTGTCATGGACCCAGCCAGAGTGGTGGTTTGGTGAGTGTCGCTGTGTGCCGAAGTTTGTATTCGGACTGTGATGATGACGGTGGAAGTGGCACCACCATCACCACCAAGACAGGCAACGTCCAGTACGATCGCTTCTGCCCGTGCTTTGATGCCTCTGGCTCCAACATGGGTGGCAACATTCAGGAGCTACCGGCTTTGAGCAGCAGCGAGATCTATTTCTCTTCTGTCAGCACCGTCAGCACCAGTTCGACTTCCAGCACAATGGCAACAACTGCAACCACGACAACCACAACCGCAACGACAACAACGACAGCCTCTGCCAATGGTGATTTAAGCACTACAACAACCGCAGAGGCCCAGAAATCAACCACCACTGCCTCACAAGCGACCAACGGTGATGCAAGCACCACCAGCACTGGAAGCAGTGAGGATCCAAGCAGCACCAGCAGCACTGCAGTGAATGCTGGTGGCGCTTCGGCTGGTAGTAGCACCACAGCATCATCAAGCACCATCCCAGACTCGAACGAAGATTTGCGCACTACTGTGACCAGTGAAGCTTTGAGCATCAGCATGAGGATATTCTCCGTCCACGCGTGGACCTTCTTTGGAATCTTCGTTTTGACTTACTGAGCCTCCTGAACCCGCCGCCACGAGCCTCGCACGATCCTGCCGGTCTTGTTACTTTGCCTTCGTTTCCCTTGGCTGAGATCCTATGGGGATTCTGAATGGCAGGGTTGCAAACGGCATGGAGCACGGTGCTTCCAGCCGAAGGTTGGAAGTTGTTCCCATGTTCGTGAATATCAGAAGCACCCGTTTTGACGGATCTTTTTGTGCTGAACTTTTTGCTGTCTTTGCCATTGCCCAGACAATGGTATTGCATCAGTGCTCGTAATCCAACATTGTTTGTGTGTGCATGCAAGAGATTTTGTAAGTGATAGCAATCTCTCAGCTTTTCAAGCAAATTGCGCGTTGTGGCGGAACACTCCACAGCTGCTAATTTGCTGCAACGCTTCTGAGGGACTGAGCAGCAAAAGAACCAGCAGCATGGCAGGTCCCACTCACGTAATTCTACAGCAAGGAAAGACGGAGGGTAGCGGGTAGCAGCTTCTTTGTCGGTTCCAAGTTCCATGTGAAACCCTTTCATCTCAAGTTGTATACTAGGCGACGTG